CCCCCCCCCCCCAGCACAGCACACAAATGACCCCCAGGAAAAGAGACCAATGACACCCAGTGGTTCAGACAGATGAAATCCAGCAGTGCAAAGGGATGACCCCCCCCCAGCAGTGTATAGATGACCCCTAGCAGTGTATAGATGATCCCCAGCTTTGTGGTAGATGAACTCCAGCAGTGTAAAGATGACCCCCAGCAGTGTGTAGATGACCACCAGCAATATATAGATGACCCCCAGCAGTGCGGAGGGATGACCCCCCAGCAGTGTATAAATGACCCCCAGCAGTGTATAAATGACCCCCAGCAGTGCGCAGGGATGACGCCAGCAGTGAGTAGATGATCCCCAGCAGTGCACAGGGATGACCCCTAGCAGTATGTAGATGACCCCCAGCAGTGAGTAGATGATTCCCAGCAGTGCACAGGTGACCCCCGGTAGTGTATAGATGACCCCTTTTCCGTAGTATATAGATGACCCCCCAGCAGTGTACAGATGACCCCCAGAAGTGTAGAAGGATGACCCACGCAGCAGTGCAGAGGGATGACTCCCAGCAGTGTAGAAGAGTGACCCGCAGCAGAGTAGAAGGGTGACCCCTTGCAGTCTAGAAGGATGACCCCCCAGCAGTGTATAGATGACCCCCAGCAGTGCAGAGGGATGACCCCCCAGCAGTGTAGAAGGATGACCCCCAGCAGTGTAGAAGGATGACCCCCAGCAGCAGTGTAGAAGGGTGACCCCCAGCAGTGTAGAAGTCTGACCTGCAGCAGTGTAGAAGGGTGACCCCAGCAGTGTAGAAGGGTGACCCCAGCAGTGTAGAATGGTGACCCCCAGCAGTGTAGAAGGATGACCCCCAGCAGTGTAGAAGGATGACCCCCAGCAGTGTAGAAGGGTGACCCCCAGCAGTGTAGAAGGGTGACCCCCAACAGTGTAGAAGGGTGACCCCCAGCAGTTTAGAAGGGTGACCCCCAGCAGTGTAGAAGGGTGACCCCCAGCAGTGTAGAAGGGTGAACCCAGCAGTGTAGAATGGTGACCCCCAGCAGCGTAGAAGGATGACCCTCATCTCTGGATATTGGCTGGACACACTGCGCTTCTCCCGGGAATTGCGCTGAAAGCCGATTAGCGGAGATCACGTGACGTCTCCCGTCCCCCTCCGGGCTGGCACATCTCAGCTCCCCGCAGGGTGGGCGCTCACTCTCTGATCCCCCGGCCGTGCTGTGAACACGGCCGGGTGGGCGGCGGAAGTAAGTTGCGGAGTGCCGTGCCTGGCTTACAGCACGTGGGAAGAGAAGAGTTGTGGCAGAGAAGAGGAGATGAGCCCGGTGTGACAGCTCAGCAGCTGGAGACTTCGGATCGGTCAGGGGCCACACACCTGCAGCAGGGGGCCACTTCCATCCAGTGCACGAACCCCGATCATCTGCTCTTCCACATCCACAGCAGTGCAACGATCGGTAACTTCTCGCATGCCTCGGAGCAGTGTTATCGCAGACAGAAGCCAGCACTCTTCTTCCAGGACTCGTCGGAGCTCCGTCTTGTAGAGCTCTGATCGCCGGTGACCTATGCTGTGGGCTGCCGGACGCTGATCGTGCCGTTCCCCGGGGAGCTGTGCTGGTGGGAGCATGCCCTGAAAGTCCGGATCATGCAGAAAAGTGTGCGCTGCAACGAGGGCCACGCTCTGTACCTTGCCCACCTGGCCCGCAAGGAGGGCACCAAGAGGGGCACACTCTGCAAGAAGGCGGCCGAGACCAACAAGTGGCACGACAAGTGGTTCGCCCTCTTCCAGAATGTCCTCTTCTACTTCGAGAGCGATCAGAGTACCAGACCCTCAGGATTGTACATGCTGGAGGGGTGCAGCTGTGACCGGGTCCCCCCACCCATAGTGGGCACTGGGGGCAAGGAAACCATGGAGAAGCAGGTACACCCCGGGGGGGCTGATGGGGGCTGATGCGGGTTTATCTATGACCAGATATCTATTCATTCTCATTCTCTCTCTCTCTCTCTCTCTCTCTCTCTCTCTCTCTCTCTCTCTCTCTCTATCTCTATATCTATATCTCTATATATCTCTATTTCTGTGTTTTATATTTATATGAGTTCTCTCTCTCTCTCTCTCTCTCTCTCTCTCTCTCTCTCTCTCTCTCTCTATCTATCTATCTATCTATCTATCTATCTATCTATCCTTTTGAGTTCATTAGATCTATGCATGTATGAAGAAGTGGTGTGTTTTTTGGTAGTGTTAGGCAGGTGCTAAGTCTAGTAATCACCTGTTGTCAACACAACCTATATACATTTGTATCTGCTGCCATTGACTTACAGAGCTTTTCATAGAAGTCAACTCAGTGGATCATGCACATGGGCACATTTAGGGGCGCACAGGGTAGATGTGGACTTTTTTCAGCACCCATGAATAAATAGCTGGTGTGTACAGATGCAGGTATATCCTGGTACTCACATAGACCCGCATATATGGTAAGGACATATGCCCCAAATGCACAACGAACATGTATTATTTTTCAAAAAGTATCTCACTGCCACGTTGAGATGGGAACAAGCACTAGTTTTATTATGGGGTAGTTGGACACATGTGTTTTAGCGTGTTACAATGCATATGATAAAAGGCATCAGCGTCAATTGACCCTGAAAGGACCCTAGTGATACTGGACAGTAGGGGTAATTACTATTTCTCTAGTTGGGTAGAATTAAGTTAGTTCTACCTGTAGATGTCAGGTGATGGTAGTAAACATGCCATGATCATATACTGATCAGTGAATGTCAAGTCTTCATGTGGCTGATGGGTGTCAGAGGAAATGGCAGTCAGAGGTGTACAGTTGCTGTTGTTTTTCCCATCACAGGGGTCAAAGGTGTCCAGCCATTCTCCACTCACATAAAGGTGTACTCAGGAGATCCAAGCATACATGTTTATGTAATAATATGCAGAAGAAGATCTTTGATATAATTCCTGCACATCTGACAGGTGTCTGTGACAACCCTTCAGGGGATGTTGGAACTGATCATTTTCCTGATTCATAAATATTCAGTCTTTTATCCTTCAGGAGAGCGTGCTATATCCAGTATAATCATGTCATCTCTCTGTTATCTTGGGGGAACAATTAGCAACTGAGTGAAAAATTCCAACCTTCCAATTGACTTAACCGCTGTTGGAGAATTTCCAAACGGCTCTGCAACATTTGTTGATATTCCATGCACAATTTTAATTGTCACCCAGTCCTGCTGGATTTGCAGGTATTATGGTGCCCTTACACTGTGCGAATTTCGGGTGGTTCTTGATGAACTGGCAGAAATTCTCACAGTGGGTGCTGCTGTTGGCACCCTTTCGGCCGGCTCGCATCCTTTGATCAGCTGAGCTGTCTAATGTAGGTTCCATAGCCCTGCACTAGACACGAGGATGCCAAGGGACAGTCCACAGCCGGAGCAGGGGGTGAGTTGAGGGTGAGAAGAGTGCCCATCACCAGGGGAGCGGGGATCAGGTAAGTTAAAGTGGTCCACACAGGTCCCCTAGACAAAAAGGATTAACCCTTGCAGTGCAGGATAGCCCCACTTTTTTGGTATTGGGAGGTATTTGGGCGCATTGCAGCTGCCTTTGCCTCATTTCCAATCTCCAGTAGGGTGTTTGGACCTGGGGTGCTCTGATATACTGACCACGGCCTCCTCCCATGGTCACCAGCTATGCCCTCTGCCTCCTGCCCCATACTATTGTCCCCTCACTGAGTGTCGTCACTAACCAGTAATGAGGCTCAGGAGGTGGGCAGAGGTCAGCAGAGATGACAATTAGGAAGCTGGTCTTCAGGGGTTCAGGGTGGAAAGATGTGCAGGTCCATGCCGTGCACTGTCTTCATTATGACTTCATTGTAGCCACAGATTTTCTTTCTGGTTTCAGTGAATGTATGAGAGAAGTGATTGCAATCATAGCTCTGCCTGTTGAAGATAATTGCAGGCTACCATGCCGTGTCTTGCAGAGAGAAACACTTTGTACACGCTCTGCTCCGCTCCTCGTACTGATCACTTGGATGGATTCACAGAAATGTTACCCCCAGAATTTACACTGTAATACTTTCTGACTCACTTCTAGATGAGTCTAAGGGCTTGTTCACACCAAGCACGGAGCAGGTGCAGAGCAGTTACAGACCGGATCAAAACTGCGTCCAATGTATTCCAATGGTATTTTGGGCTCTAGTTCACACCAGAGCGTTCAGTTCCAGAGCATGTGGAAAAACTGCAGCAAGCCCTATTTTTTTCTGCTCTGGAACACACCAAAATGCATGCGAACGCATCAAAAACACGTGCAAATGCCCAGGAACGCACTGAAAGCCCACTTTAGGCTAAAAAAACGACCCAGAACGCTGCAAAAATGCAGCAAAACACAGTGCACTGTGTGTGCAGAAACTCATGCAGATCTGGTCTGCATTTGGTGTGAACGAGCCCTGAGATGAAGTTTGTCTGGTGGACTTGTCGGAAAACTTTTTATGTCTCTGATACTTTTACGATTTGGGCATTAAACAGATGATTTAGTAAAGGGACTAAAATTACCTGTAAGATGGGACTGCTGCCTAGAGTTAGGGAACATCTGACTCCTGGAAGATCTTTCTCTTATTCAAGATGCATGTGGACCCTTAGAATCTGTAGATGTCAGAAGCATCCTGTGTGTGGGAGATTAACATTTACTGAAAATACTGCTCTAACTGATGGCTTTTGTTGGCATACAATCAGAAGAGTTATGTCTTGTTTATTCTGACATCCAGGTCTGTGTGTACACTATACTGATAGAACCAAGGAAGATGTCATAATGTTAGATCACTGGTGGCTATTATTTCACGGTTGTTTGAAATTAGATAGATAGATAGATAGATAGATAGATAGATAGACATTATATAGATAGATGGAGAGACAGACAGACATTAGATAGATAGATAGATAGATAGATGGAAAGATAGATAGATAGATAGACATTAGATAGATAGAAAGATGAATAGATAGATTCAGACATTAGATAGATGGATAGATAGATAATGAGATATGTGTGTGTAAAAGTACAAAGGATTCATGACATTTTGTTTGCCTGGGTATCATGAACAATCAATGTTTTTTATCTTTTAAAAAATATTTTTCTTTCCCCTTTTCTTCATCCCCTTTCACACCTCAGTGCATTCTCTTTGCAGCCACTCCCGCTGTACAGTCATTTGCCCCCTTGTAGGTGCATATCATTATTCTGAACTGGCTTCCTGATAGTGTCAACGGTGGACCAAGTCTGCGCAATTAATGTCAGCAGGGTGACTTTAATGACACCAGAAGCACATGTGACAGGGTGACAACACAGGAGAGTATTTGGGGGCAGAGCACCCCGTGACAGTGCTAAAGGTAATGGTAACAGACATTGCATAGCACACGGCGGAGCACACGGCGGAGGGGCTGTTTGGCTTTAGATTATAATAATGGTTTTGCTTTCACTCTTACCGCCAGATCTGGTTCTTCATTTTTTTGCAAATATATTAAAATGGACATTTTAGGCTTGAAGATTACTTAAACCCCCAGAATTATATATTGATTCTGAAAGCAGAGACATTGATCGCTATGCGATCGTCTGGTAGATCGCGATCGACCTTGTGGGCACCCCTGCTGTAGACTAAAACGGTGGTAGTGGCAGTTATGTCATGCAACATTACTGCAACTGTAAATCAAACCCACATTTTTAAAACATAGGGTCTATTGCAAATTGAAATAGCAAATAGGAATCTAGCAAGGCATGCCTATGGTTCCAGCGGCTCCCTGTCAGAATAAAAAAGAAAAAGCAGTGTTTCTCTCCTGGGCGGCCGAGAGCGGGAGACTCCCGGAGCGCCCGGGAGAGTTAGGCTGTCTGGAGATCAGTGTCCCTGGTTAGCTGGTAACCAGGGACGCTGATCTCTCTGCAAGTGGCCGAAGCCAGCCGTAACATCACGGCTGGCTCCGCCCAGCTGTCAGAAGCAGGCTGTCGGCCGGCCGCTCGGCCAGCTTCGGCTTTCACCTCGGCTCCGTCGAGCAGAAGCATATGCCTTCGGCTCGCATGAGCCGCCCGGCCGACTTCTGGAGCTGTACGGGCTATAGTGAATAGCACATACAGCAGACCTTCGATTCTACTGAACCGAAGGGGTCCTGGGGCCGAAGCTAGCCGAAGGATCAGCCGAAGCTACGGCTAGATCCTTCGGCTGCTTCGTGAATAGACCCCATAGCTTCTAATTAATTTTAGTGCACATAAATACAATAGAATACACAGGTGTTTTGTGAAATATAAAAGAGATCCTCACTGCCACCCATAAGGGCTCATGCACATGTCGGGCTTTTTTCCGCGCTGCAGGTGCTGTGTACAACTGCCAATAGACATGAATAGCCATGCATGCCGGTACTTGTGTAAATCTGCAAAACAGTGCACAATCACTGAATTTACTAACACGTGTAGGTTGATATGGAATGCATGCTCCGAATGTATGCCAGCTAACGGTCCTTGTTTTTCTCTAATATTTTTTCCCTCTAATATTTCTAACCACTGTTAACATTTTTAATTTTGCATAACAAAGGTATCATCAAAGAAGAGTGTACAGAAAATTAATTTGTAAAAAGCCATAGAGAACCGTGTGTGTGGTATTGTACTGCGTTTACAGGTATCTTTGTGCGCATAGACAGACATTTGTGTACTAAGGAAGGTCTGATTTATTCTTAGGATATCCTTTATCCTTTTATTTGTCACATTGATTGCAAAATGCTATATATGGACCCCATCATTACTACTGTATTAAATTAAGGTAGAACTCCAGCCCATACGGGGAAGGTTGCATGTTATGCAGCTCAGTGCAGAGCACACTGTTGTGTTTTGAAGGTGCGTTGGGGTACCATTTGCAATGAATGACACCGCAGTCCACTAGCACA